GTACGTCTCTGCCCGAAATCATACCGCTCCAACAGAAAATGAAATCAGCTGATGCGCTACCGAGCAGACGCAGAAACCACAGTGTTTGTCATACACTTAATGGCACATCTTCTAACAAGGAAGGCAAAATGTTGCGTAAAAAGTCTAGGTATTGCATCCCGTCCAATCGATTTGGGAGAATAAATGGTCCAATGAGCATACCGTTCACCATGCCAGCCCAAACATTCACTGAAAATGTTTGTTGAAAATGTGCCCGATGGAAAGCGGGCGGATTTTCTACTGACCAAACATGAGTGTTGCGAAAGTTATTCACCCCATTACGCGTGAACGTAGATTCGTCTGTCACCAATATGTACTTCAAAAAGTCCGGATTATTGTCATGTTGATGCAACAACCAGTCACAAAACCGCACTGTTGCTGGAAAATCGTCAGGTTGAAGGGCTTGTACACGTTGGACGTGAAACGGATACAGCCCCTCTTCACGCAGCGTTTGCCACACTTTAGTTTTTGATACTTGCACTTCTCTAGCCACGTCTCTAGTGCTTGTTGAGGGATTATCGTCTACGCGATTACCTCTACACGCGGGACCGTAACCGTCGGTTGAAGGTTGCATACTGACCTGACACACTGACCCCGACCCAGTTCTGTCGTCGGGTTGAGCCAGTGACCTTTACCAATCGGTGATGTCGCGGCTACAGGACGGTATTCAGATATTTTTGATGTTGCAGAGCCCTTTATCTCGGTTTCCTTAAGACATTGGTGTATATGGTACTAAGAAAAATTGCTTATGTTCCAAGATCTACACGTCATGTAAAGGAAAACCCCAACTTTGCGGAAACCCTGTATAAACTCTTTGTAATTAAAAAATATTTTCTACTTTTCAGTTCGGTTAGCTATGAAAGCGTGTTTTTTTTTTAGTTTTTTTAAACTATTATTCATTATAATATTCTACCACCCTGCGTTTCTTCGGATTTTTCTGATTCATCCGTGTACGTTATGCCTCGCGAAAAGACATACTAAACAGATATATACGTAATCATATAAATCTATCTAGGAATCCAGAACTGTATCGCCTGGACTACCGTAGGGCGCCAAGCGGACGCTTACGCCAGCGCGACTACGTTAACCCTACGCTGGCGCTCTCCAGGTGCAGAGCTAGGCCACTCGACTAGGGGCGGTGCGACGTTGCAACCTGTCTACCCTGTGACATGCCAAATACTTTTACTTTTTTTATGTCTGGTGTAGTATACGCCCACGGTTACACGACCACCATCACAACGGGGCTTTTTAACAGATTCATTATTTAATAAACAAACGTGTCGTTGAAGGATTATTGTGAATCACATAAGTTTGAAGTTCGATCAATACAATAGCATATATTTATGATGAATGAATGTATTCCTGAATAAAACGTATCATTAAAAAACCCAATCAAATCAGGAACTAAATGGAGCTTCTCCAGGTCCAGCATGTGTAGGAGTTTGAAGTAAAAACAACCTAAAGCAACACATCGCTTTTTTCGTTTTAAATATATTGCAGAAATGCGTACATATTTTGTAACCCCTGGCCAAATATTTTCCAAACAGGCCTAGAAGACAATTCTTGAAAACGAGGGACTAGTTAACTAGTATAACCAATAGAAACTGGGGTAGTTCTCTTATTTTCCGAGACTTTTCTTAACTATACTATGCATGCATTTTTACTCCTGCTATTTATCAATGAAATAATGACTCAGAAAGCCAAACGTTTCAACGCTCTTTTACGTACAATGCGGTGAAGTTGATTCATACATTTGACCAAAACTTTATTAGCAACTTTTAAAAAAAAATTATAAGATCGGTTCATTAAATGCGTAATTGTTTTTTATTTTTATTTTTCTCTCCAGTTTAACTCTTATGTTTATTTTACGTCTTTTCCTGATGCCTAGAATGGGTACAAAGGCCGACTAGGCGATATACTTTTTACGTTTTAGGTTAAGGCAGCAATAAGCTTACGGATGAATGGTAATTGGCCAGAATTTGCCATTTGCAACTCTAGTACTGTATGGAGTTACAATAAAGGTGATTGAATTGATTTGAAGTAATGTATTTCCCTGAAAAGCAAGAGAACCACGCTCACTCTCTGTTAGTTATTTTGAAATTTCTCATTTTGTAACTCTTCTGCAAAATTCAATGTCACAAAAACGTCCTCTACTGGCGCTTCTGAAGAATTTCTTGCTTTAACATTTAGTTCTAAAAACGGCGATGAACAAAAGTACTGGTGGAACTACTGAGATTTTACAAATGTGTGGGGCTGTGGAATATTAAACAATATATTTACTTGATAACAGAGAAAACTTCATTCTGTAATATTTACTTACCAGATGAACCTGCATTAAACGTCACGGTATTTACTACAACTTTGTGCGTACTATTTTATGCTTTTAACCACCCGAGGATAGGCATATTTGCTGTATAAACGCGTTTGTAAAATTATATTTGTGATTGAAAATTGTAACTAGTATTTCGTTCCAAACTAAGCGCGATATCAACAAAGCGTTTTCTAAAGTTGAGGAATTGATTGCTGAGATAAAAGAAGCAAATTGAGCTTAACTTTAGGTTCTTATGTTATGCCCTGGTTGTTCTTTTGAGTTTTTTCGCTACAAGGATATCGTTAATATTTTTCTCTTTATCAACATTGTCCTGCCCTTTTTGAACATTAAGGTCAATGGTCGAACAGAGATGTTCATGCTCGTATGTTGTGAATGGTTTGTACAGTTATCTACCACTGACCACCTCCCAATCTGGCTTCAGACCATTACATAGCACCACCACTGCGCTCCTGTCTATATCGGATAATATTTATAGCGCGGTTGATCAAGGAAAGCTGTCCTGCTTAGTTCTTCTTGATTTTAGCAAGGCCTTCGATACGGTTGACCCAAATATTCTCTGTAAAAAGCTTAGATACTTTGGCCTGTCATCATCGGCTTGCACGCTGATTAAGAGCTTTTTAACTGATCGCTCACAGTCTGTCATATATGAAAACAATATATCAACTTCTTTATTCAGAAATTTTGGTGTCCCTCAAGGATCTATTTTGAGTCCCCTTTTATTTGCTCTTTATATATGTGATTTTCATGAAACCGCCAGCAACTCAATCGTTCATCATTACGCCGATGATACCCAACTTTATAACTGCTTCGATCCTGATGAATATATGCTTGGCCAACATCAAATAAATCAAGACCTGCAGTCTATTTTTGACATATCTAGTGCTCACAATCTAAAACTAAATCCTGGCAAATCATGCTGCATTTTATTTGGGCCCAAAAAGAATCGTGAAATAAATCAATATCGCATTAATATTATGGTGAATAATGAAGACATATCCTTCGTAAACGAATGCAAAAACCTTGGTATCTGGTTTGACTGCAAGCTACGCTTCACTAAACATGTTAACCAACTATGCAATGCGTCCTATAATGTGCTTCGTCAGTTATATCCGAGTCGAAGTGTCCTGTCGACACAGCTCAAGCTTAAACTCTGCGAGTCCCTTATCCTGTCAAAATTATCTTACGGTGACTCTTTATGGACCTGCTCTTTTACAACGTGATGCCGAGCGGATTCAGATGATACAAAACTCATGCATCAGATTTTGTTATGGAATCCGTAAATTTGATCATATTAGTAGCGCTTTTGACCAATCGGGATGGTTTAAGATGAACAAATTGAGGAAACTGCATTGCCTACCTCTGGTACATAAGACCCTTATCCTTAAAGCGCCATATTATCTTTATACAAAACTAAGCCTCCTCTGCCAATACGATCAAAGATCCTCTAGGAATAAACTCATCTTACTTATCCCGCGGCATTCGACAGCATTGTTCACACGCAGTTTCTCGTACTGGGCACCCAAACTATATAACTGCTTATCAAGTGAGTATAAAGAATATAGCCTAAGCAATTTTAAAAAAAGGTTAAAGATGAGTTTAAAGCAGTCGGATGGCTAAAATTTTACTTTATGCATATCCACAGGTAATTGATTGTTTCCTTTCTCTGATAAGTGTTATATTCTAAGTTTTTTTTTTCTCTCTCTCTATAGTTTGTGTCAATGTTTTCCAGGTCGGGTTGAAAAACAGCATAAGCTGACACTCCACCTTTTCGTCACTGTTCCTTTTAAACCAATTATCTTGTAATCGTGTGACGAATAAAGGCCATTTATTATTATTATTATTATCTACCTCATCCGTAACCTAAAAGACACGAGTATCTGACAAAGTGCTATTGACCAGTTATCAGGCATATTTCTACTCCAAGATGAACTATGCAATGTTGATGTGGAGACACTTCACACATGCAAAAATAATTTGGCATGCAAAGACTTTGTATCCGTTACATATTTGACTTTACTCACAGTGATTTACACAGTTTTGAAACTCAAAATAGAGATAAGATTTGTCATTGACATCACCTTGACAAAACCAGAAACGGGAAACATTTTTAAAACGCGTTGCCAAAACGTGCCAAATGGTTTAGTATTGATACTTTCCATAGGAAACTCAAAGATTATCTATCAGAAAAAGGATTCTTCTGTAATGATGAATATTTGACAAATAACTTTTGCGATATGCTTCTGTAAATATTTATATTATTTTTACTTATTTTAGGCGGTCCCACGTTTGAGCATACGTTAATGTTCATATTAATATTGCTCCGTCTCATTTTCTGTATTGATGTCTATTATATTCTGTCCCGCTTTTGCGGCTGAGTCGATATCTTTATTCATTTCATTGTATTTTGCTTTTGCGCTTTGTTTGTACGTCTGTATTTGTTACACTTTATTGCTCGTTGATTATAATTATTTTCCAAATGCCCCTCAAGGCAAGCATGACTTTTCAACAAGTTCTCTTTTGACCTGTGTAAACACATTTGTGTAGTAACACCGATAAAATTTAATTGAATATTTCCTCGATAACCCTCGTATAGAATCATGTAAGGCAACGCCGCTTTCCTGCGATTCGTCACCGCAGAACGCGTCGCGACGTCTTCCCTGCGAGTTTTCAGTCGTCCGGCGAGCATCAAACCGCGATCTATCCCTAGCGACCCAACCCCGCTAGTCCGGTTTTCCCACCCGCTTATCGTTTTGTCTTCCGGGGTGTGTTTCTCCGGAAAGTGTGACTCATACCGAGGCTCGAACGTCGAATGTAAACGTTGCTGTGAATAAGTATTCTACAGCAAAAGTACGATGTTTACATGATATTTATACGAAAATATTTCTATGATACTAGTCACTGTAATCGAGACAATCTGGCAGAAGTTACTGATAATATATTGTGAGGGGATGAAACATTTGAAGAACACGTGACATAAGGCATACTCTACAAGAGGATGGGTCGTGCCGGAAAAAAATTACTCGCAAATATTTTAAATATGGATAAAATAATTTCGTTGAATTAATTCATTTCTTAATAAAAAATGAAAACTCCTGGCCTGTAAAATATATTTCAAGAAATAATTCATGTGTTCATTTAAAATTCATTGTTGTTTAACGTGTCAAACGCGAATGGAAATGAATAGAAAAAATACAAACTTTTTACCTGTTTTTTATAAATAAAATGAAGATTTTTGTCCGAATTTGTTGTTCCAGAATTCATTTTGTAGGTATTTTAGGGCGAATTAATGAGTTGAGTTGATTTTTTTTAGCAATAAATTATATGACAAAAATAAAAAAAAAAACATATCTTTTATTAATGAAAAACAGCTGCTACTTTCCTCCAGGCACTTCCTTCTTGTAGAGCGTCCCTTTTATCACATTTTCACGAAATATTTTGTCCCAATACTATTTTCACCAGCGATTTTGCTATACTTCATGGACTGCTGATTAAAATGCGATATTTTTTTTGATGACAAGTTTCTATTTATTTAGCTAAGGCATGCATAATTCTAATTGAGATAGTATTTTCGTAACACAAGGTTTCTAGAACATCAAGTTTAGCCATATTTAATGATTCGTCCTACCGCGGGACTGTCTTCACAATATAATATAAAAATGGCTGAGTAGAATTCAAGCTCATCTAAATCAAGAGAATTTGTCTTCGCTGTTCAACTCATGGGTTCTAGCAACGCAACGTAGTTTAGTTAAATTGTCAATGATTGAATAAAAACCATTTAGTCTTAACTCGACAGTCTTATAAACAATTACCTCATTCATATAAATTTGTTATAAACGTCACAACCACATACATATTTCATAGATGAGATAATATAGTCAAATTAGTCGTTTTTTAATGATTTTTGGTCGATGAGAAATCATAACAAATGCTTTATATTCATTCAACATGCCATATACAGGATGTTTCTTAATTGATCGTCAATATTTGAAGGGGCGATTTTTTTGGCCGTTTTAAGAAGAAAACTTCATATAAACGCATGTCCCATGTGATAAAGTTTTAAAAAATAAATAATTTGGCATTCCACTGACTTTACTTTAAATACAATGAAAAAATAAATCGTTATTTATTTATGAGCAGATTTGATACCTCGAATGTTTTAGGCCGACGCAAGGTTTTCACCTTGAAAAATAAAATCTATCTCTCTGCATGGTGATACTGTCATATCAACGATATTGTTAAAAGGTTTTTATTTTTTAAGTGATAAGCGTGCATCGGATTGCAAAAATCGAGAGTTCAAATTTGCTTAGAAATGTCTAGGGATTTCAAGAATTTTTATTTAAGAGAAATCAGTGGTGTACCATCAAAGGTTGTTAAAATAGGCAGGCGAAATTCCGTACGAACGCTGCTGGTGAGAATTAAAAAAATGCGGTACATCAAAAAATGCCTCTTAATACATAGCACATTTATGCCAAATTTAATTAAAATATCTAAAGAGATCTTAATAATATATTTGAAATTTTTTCCAGCCTGTAAGAGTTAAGACGTTTTGAACATAAATTCATCTGAGGTTTTCATCTTAAAATAGACCCAAAAATCTCTCCCTTGAATATTGATATTCAATTAGGAAACACCCTCGAATACAGTGAACGTCTATAGAGTGTTAATACGCTGGCCCAAAGAGCCTCTTTGCTGAATCGTTAACTATTAAGGTGAAAAATGAAACGAAAGAGTGATGAGTACAGATGGACAAAATTGTATCTGGCAGCATATCTCCAAGCACCTCTATAATTTTCGGTGTGGATGTCTGGAGTCGATTCCACCATCGATGGATGGAAATTTTGGCCCAAGCTTTAGACGTATTTGCCACTTTATACAAAATTGTTGATCATTTTCAAGCATTGGATAAAATGTTCATTTACCGAAGGAACAAATTAAATATGTAGGCGTTTCTGACATATCTCTAAAATATCCGGTGGAATGCTAACACTATAAATTTACGAAAAAACGAATGATCAAACTTCTCAAGCATCAAGTTCAGGAACAAAATCGAAGAAACACAAAATATAGATATTTTTGACTGCTTAAAATAGTGCAAAAAAACCAAAACGTAAAGTACACAATTATTAGGAGCAATCTGTAAAATCATGATGAATCATAAATCAATGCGTGTTTTAACCATTTTGAAGGACTGTAATATTTTTTTAACGTCCTGGATTTTCTTTATTTGCTATTCTACAATTGAAGGGGAATATAGATTCCTGCACCCCTTAACGATCCCTCTGAACACAATTATTCTAAGCTACTGTACTGAGTAGGGATTAAGCTTGTAAGATTATGGCGAATTGATAAGCTATTACTTGTCTGCTATAAAACGATAAACGTAAGCTCAGTTAACACCCAACATCCTCACAGATATCTATACATGTAATCCCTAATGAGAAAAAAGTCACTTTTATCTAGTATTTTTAAGCTAGAAACTAGAATTTCCACCCATATGAGGAAAATATAGGAAACAGTCAAAATCAGTTTATCGGAACCATCCAAGAAGATACAACGAAATGTCTGAGAGCGAGGAAGAATCAACAAACTCAGCGGACTGGACAGTGACAGAAGACTGGCTCTTAAACGTCCTCAAAGAACATCACAAGGAACCCGAAGATTCGGACGCTATCAGTATATCAGACTACACAGTCACACCTGGCTGTGAGTCTGGGGAAAGCGTTCTTAGTGACATTCTAGCTGTTTCAGTTAAGTACTCCTTAAAGTAAGTACATCCTCATTTCGAAAATAAATAGCAAATCATCTTAATTAAGAATAATATATAGCGCTTATAGTCTGCTTCCTTAGAAAAAATTAGTAGTGAAGTCCGTAACGATGAGTTGCACAAATGATTTTCAGGCCTATCAGCTCATGACGTGTCAAACAGTTTTGTGTCATATATTAATCAATTTTTACTCCTTTTTGATACAAATTCCATATAATTCACTTAGTTCAAAAACATATCGTTCAAATGTAGTTTATATCGAAGTTCACTGAAAGCATTTAATTTCGGTTCAAAAATAAGGTTCTTTGCATAATGTTGATTGTCAAATTGCATGGTCACGAAGCGCGAATCTAAAAAAGACCTGATGTGAACAGGGTTTTTTTGTCAATGGGAAGGGGTGAGTTCCGGCAATATCAGCTGCAAGCAAAGCTGGAGGAGTGTGTGGTGGTTCTCCGCAATGCCTTCCCATGCTGAAGATTATAATCCCATAAGAAAATGGACGGGGTAGCACCCAAACCAAAACAGCTAAACGTAACGTACAATATGCAGGGGTACTACTCCACAAACTGGTGTTGGGCACCTAATACCTAGAATCTGGTTGTTAAATAAATGGCGCTCACACTACAATCTCAGGAGGAAAGTGACTGATACGAAACACTTAACTTTATAAAGGAAGGTTCAATGAGTGGCCTTGAAGAATATATGTTCAACACAATACTGAATCACTGAGAAAGATATAATACGTGTGAAATTATACAATCAACAAACTATGAAATTTCCAAAAGAAAATCATTGAAATGGGTTTGGCCTAGGAATGGGCACTCTACCATTAATAAAGAGGAATTCAAATTACTAGTAAGTGATCAAAATAGTAAAAAAGGTTACGTGACAAACAACAGAATGAACGATAGTTAAGTGAAAATGCATACGCGATGCCCATGAAGTGACCTGCCATTTCCTTGGCGATCAACTAATGACAATCCGAAAATTTCATTGCATTATAATATGTATATTAATGTGGAGGAAACATCAACTCAGCATTCTTCCGAATCGGAGAGTTTCAGTTACTAAAGCTTGCTGAAAACTACTTATCTTTTGCAGGAGCGATTCTGACGGCAACTCGCATAACTTGGACTTTATTATAAAACTGTTACCGCAAGACGCTTTTAGTAGGTTTTTCGTGACCGAAGCACAGTTCGACCTTAGGGAAATTAAGTTCTACACGCAAGTAAGTCGTTAGCTTTTTTCATAGAGTTCTCAGAAAGGCCATAAATAATTGCGTATAATATTCCAAGAATAAACTATTGTATGCTCTTTATTCATATTGTATCGATTAACATAAGAGGTAAACTTGCACCAAGTTACTTCGGGATTTGGATTTGACGTCATTTTCAACGACCTGGCTCAGATAGGATGGATCGCTTATGGCGAAGGAAGGCATTATAATTGTGCAACCGTCTAGGAAAGTTCTTATAATTCTAAGTTTCTATGACCAAATGAAACCTCATATGTTGAAATTACTCTTTACCGACATTTCGGCCACTACGGTGACATTTTTTCGAAGTATACATATATCAATGACACTAACAATATATTTTATATTCATCTGTCTTCCAGGTGACAGTTTGCTTATTTTTTCCGCTAGTATACAGTGTGTTGCAACAACAGTCTGAACGGTTCTGTATAATATAACATTTCACATTTTTCTAAAAATTGTTGGTGGTATGCGGCATATTGCTATTATGCTGCTATTATTATAATATAAATGAGAAACTACAACCGATTCTGCTTACTCATCTATTTAGCTGTTAACGAAGGAAATGGTTGTCACTAACTAAAAAAAAAAGTAACATGTAATTTTTAATTCATTGGTAGCGAGCCAAAAATGATGCTTTTCAATTTTGTCCGAACTATATCGCAAATACTAATACAGGTAAAGGGCTTTTCAATATCATGTGCTTTTAAATGCAAATAAAACACTGAAAAATATAATGAATCCTGAAAATTTAATTTTACTTACATCACTCAAACGTTTTTCATAATTATGGATGCAAGAACGAATTATTTGAACCCGATATCCTTTGTATTCTCTTTTAACTGGTCTTGAGGCTAATATTTTCTGATTATAAATTTCTGCTTCCTATGAATTTTATGATGAACCGTTTCGAAAGACTATAAAGTAATTAGTAATTACTAGACACGAATCTCAAGAAAGCCAAGTATAACTTTGGTAAGATGTTAGGAAAATTTGCTTCTGAATCGTTTTTCAATCCTATTTCTGAAACCCCTGAATTTACAATAAAAGTATCATCATATTTTGATTCAGCGAACTGAAAAATATCAGAAACACCACCGTTCTTGAATTTCCGCGTTAGGCCCAAAACTAGCATCCATATTTTATGGCTAATATAATTTCGTATAATTTTATAAACACAAAAGTTTCCATCTTTAATTGAATCTCAGCATTGCATTGTCCATACCTCATCCTCAGCCCGTGGTCCGATAAAAATAAGACGTCATCTCTGCCAATCTCAGCTTGTATGTATGGAAATATGACAGGAAGCGGCATACGAACCCTCTTGGTCAGTGGATCGCATGATTACGAATCCGGTGAATGCCCAAATTGGACTTCCGCTTTGATGGTTACGGATGCACGGATTATACTACGATGATGATGATCAGTGGACAGTTGCCGACTCACTTTAATTGGTTCAACAATGTGCAGAGTGATTTTCATCACGAACGAAATAACGGATTATCATTTCAGTACTTCCCACGTAATTCTGAACGAATGGACTTTGAATTTGCATTATCTATCTAACATCAACTTCTATCCGATCCGGTATATTTATTGTTTACTGGATCTGACCGAACTTTTTGACGTTCTAGTATATACCAATACTATTGGCCCACTATGGAAACCCCTTACAGCTGATCATGTAACAGAAATAATATAACTGCCAGTTTATCTTATTTCAATAATTTAGGACAACTTTCGTATGCCCTGGTATTAGTATTGTTCAATGGCTATAACGAGATGCAGTATTGTGAGTTTGCTTGAGGAAAAGGTACATAAAATATATGAGATAATGCATGTTTGATTCTTCGAAATGCCTTTATATTCGCAGGAGACTGGTGAACGCATTTTCGTTATTTCAGACCTGAATAATTACATCCCGAATCTTGTCACCTTGTATGATTATTCATATTCAATAAATTATATTGCCCAGTCGCAATTGTTACATGGTTGAGCATAGTTGACGACCTTTCCTCAGCTGTTCACGTAAAAATTCAACTTTTCGCCCAGATACTTTTTATACAGTTTTATATAGAAAATATTTCAACCATCAAGCCTTAGGGGCAGACACACACGGAAATCAATATGTGAAATATATCTAATAGGCGCCTTGGATTACTGGGGCTAGTAGTAAATATAATAAAGGTTTTTTTTTTCGTTCTTTGCCTTTAGCTCCGCCGCTATTGGACCGATTTGAAAAAACCTCAAAGATTTTTCGTCTTTGACATAGTAGTAACTTTGTGTGAAAATTTCATCAAATTCCGAACAGTGTTTTCATAGTTATAGTTACAGACGGGCCAAGGATTAGCAGACAGACACACAGACCGTCATTAAGACGAAAATGAGTGAGACAGTTTTTCGTGATGTAGATTGTTTATACATATGAACGTTATTTTATGTTTTAACGTGCCCTTAAATTTTTGCTGACAACATTCTTCAATACCCTGTACAATGATATCTCAAAAATATTTCTGTACATCCACTAAAAACTCTAGAGAGCGAGCTACCACTCAAACAAAACAAAAACATTGAAAATCGTTTCTTTCGTTACAAGATATCCAAATATAAATGACGATATTTTCTATGTTCATATTATGAATAATAAACCTCTAGAAGCTTAAATGTAAGCTCCGTTTCAATGAGACCATTAAACACATTAATGTAAATTACTAGAATATACATACCTTTCAACATTAGCTCACATCATAATGAAATATATGACGTATGACTCATATGGGGGCATATCAATCAAGAGGAGGTTATGAAATTATTAATGTACATCATACGTGGAAGGATCCGATATTTCTTGGATCACGGTTGAATATTAATCGAAACGTTAGGTTAAAAGAATGTATTATTGGATATATCTTGGACTTGAAATACCAAGGATTCTATATCTACAGCAACTTGACATCATATAAACAAAGTAGATCTAACAAAACGAAACCGATCATTATCTTTAATATTTATCACCTCATCATACGCGGATATGTAGATAACAAGAAATACCTTAATGACCACGATTTCATATGATCAGCAGCGTGACAAAATGAATAAAGAACATGCAAACCAGAACAATTTTACGCCAATTTTGGCTGCCGGAGATCGAATAATCGTTGGTTGATTCTCCTTTTAGGTAGTTCCAGACTTAGAATCGTTCAAAAAGAATATGGACGATACGATAGACCTAAGTTTGCCAATTCCTAGATGCTACTATGCACACTATTCAGCTGGTAAGTCAAACTCATCACAACAATGGGGTCAATACGCTATTTCAGCAGTTTTCGCTAAATATCGCTAGTTGTTTTTGTTGTAAAACGTGATAATTCATTATTAATATTATTAAGATTAGAATTTATTGTTATTTCTTTATATTCAATCTTCACATTGATAACAATGCATTTTAATGGCTGAAATAGATTTTTCAAGGTCAAGTCATAAAATAAAGATTATTTTCTTCACATCTGATGGATACCTAACCTCCATGGCAGAGCTTAATATGTCTCACTAGAAATTATAAACTTATAGCTTCGACGTCAAATGTCAAGTATTACCGCTTATTATTTATACAAAAGTAGCAATCAGAATATACAGGATGTCCAGTGGGAAAGTTCACATTTCAAATTTGAACTACGCGGCAACCGTATACGCCAGGAAGTGGGGAGAGGTCTTAATCGACGCGTTCGACGTGCGGGTTAAATAGTCACAATGGAACGTTGGACCGGAGCGCAACGTGCTTTTGCTATCGAGGCTTACTTTAAGAGTGGTGATTCATAAGCAGCTGCCCTTCGGAGATGTTGTACACGATACAACATTCGCCGACCAAGAGATGCCTCAAGTAAGAAACTATTGAAAAAGTGGATTAAGAGGTTGCGTAAAACAGGCTCTACTCTTAGTCAAACCATTCAAACCCACACTTACTGTATCAACCGAAGAAAATGTGCGTCGCGTAAGTGATTCGGTCATTGCAAATCCTGGGCGTTCTGTACGGAAGCATTCCGCTGCTTTGGGAATCCCTAGGTCAACAATGTATGGCATAATGGAGAAAAAAATTGGTTTTCATCCTTTTAAAATCCAACCAGTCCATGCTTTAAAGGAAAGTGATTACGTATTACGGCAATCTTGTGTTGAACGGATGTTGAATCTGTTTCCTACGCAGCGCACACTCGAGAACGATGTTTTCGGTGACGAGACCCATTTTCACTTAGTCGGTTATGTGAACAAGCAAAATTGCAGATATTGGACACCAAAAAACCCAAAAGTGAAGCATTAACAACAGCTACATAGTCCAAAGGTGACTGTTTGGTGGGCCATACAAGGACATGGACATCATTTACACTTTTTTTGCTCCTATTGTAAAAACAGAACGTCGATTTAACAGAAATACATGGACTCAACAGGATAGGGCCACTGCTCATATTTCCAGAGAATCGATGGACACGGTAAAGCACTTTTTTCTCAAAAAGTTATATCGAAGTTTGGAGACATTTACTGACCTCCTAGATCAACCGACCTCACACCATGCGATTATCTTTTGTGGGGTTATCTAAAGTTAAAAGTGTATTCCAATAATCCAAAAACACTGGAGGAGCTTACAGACAACATTCGACGTGAAATAAACATCACCCAGGAACTCTGAAAGAGAGTGTTTCAGAATTGCGCGCGCGATTAGAATAGTGTGTCCGAAGGTATGGCAAACATTTGGACGGAATAAATTGATAGTAATAAATATTTTATTTTCAGCAAGTTTGTACTTTTTTTCTTTAATAAAAAATGAACTTTCCCACTGAACACCCTGTAGTTTTTGGAGGCTAAATACTGATATTCCGTCGAAAATAAAAATGTTGGAAAAAAGGAAAAATGGATTTACATTGATGTGATAACAGTGTGAAGTTAACCCCCTTGATTTTTTGCAGGTTCTATAGAACCAGAACCTTCACCACCCGAGTCCGTCCTAGTGCTGGAAAATATGAAGCCCCAAGGTTACGTCGGCGCTGATTTCAGCAGAGGGCTGACGCTAAGACAAGCAACAGCTGCTGTCGAAGCGATATCTGTTGTACACGCTCTGTCTCTGTCCCTTAAAGTGAAAGAAGGGAAGAACTTATCCGAGAGGTACCCGTTCCTGTTTCAGACGGCTAGAGCTTCAGATTCCTACCAACAGTTGGTGGGTGAAACGCTTAACCTTGGGTTCTTTGGTAACAAAACCTTTAGCATTATAAATGTAACCTGAAGCAGTCGAGAGTATGAAAAATAAAGTGAAAAGGAAATATTGATGCCTTATGAAATATACATCAAAAATAACCATGTATCATGTCACTCATTGCACAAAGGGTTACACAGTTTGTATGTCTGTCGGGGAGCTCATGGTTTCTTAATACATGTAATTTACTCCTGTAGAAGGTTTCAATAATCATTTATCAACTAGGATACAAACATGAATGACCTTAATCTGCTGTCGGGCAAAAAAACTTATAAATTGTTTTTTCGGGCGTTAAGTCTGTGGGGATCTATATGCTCTGCTCAAGGGCGGTAAAGTAACTTTAGAGCACGATTAACCTTACGGTGCCACAAGAACTCTGTCCATTATAGGCAACGGTTACCAAAAATTATTTTATTTGTATGCTCACTTGAAGGATAAAATGCGACACCTCGCACATTGGGCTCTTATTTCACGTCACTTAATGCCACAGATAAATATTATTTTTCAGGTGGAGCGTGGTTTGCCACAACTGTCTAGCTTTCTAGAATCTAGTGCTGGATTGGAAAGCGTAATATTAGCTTTAGAAGACCTAAGGCCCTACACCAAAGATATCATTGAGAACCTCCTAGCACCCGAGGAACCCATGGCTCTGATCACTCACACCGATTTCTGGTGTAATAATCTCATGTTTCGAGAGGATGAGAATAGCTGCACATGTGCGGTAAGCATCATCATGAATTCAAAAACATTTACCTAATTTCAGCCCTTCGTAAACCTAGAGGTCATTTGCACGCTGTTCGCTTCATCGAGCGTTTCAAGAGGAGGTCATCCTATTACAAGAGTCAAAATACTTGTAACTTGGGACAATTCTAGCAGTATTCGTTGTTTTTTATTTCTTACATATTTGGTGCCAGTTATTACAAAATGAGGGAGCTGAATTATCAATTTCCGGTTTTATCAACAAAAAAAAAAAAAAACAAAAAAAATGCATCGGATTTTTCAAGCAATGCTTTTCTGTGCAAGAAACGACATATATTTTGTAATTGATTTTATAAACTTACATCAAGTCGTTAGTATTGTTTATTGATACTATCCCTAGGGTGATATTAGTGCATTTTGACCAAAACTAATATATTGTTGTTTTCTTCTAGGTCTTGGACTGGCAAATGGTTACCTATAGTCGAGCTACGAACGATTTAGCTTTACTACTGATTAGCAGTGTACCAGCAGAGCTTAGAAGGCTGCATACAGATGCCCTATTAGATCATTATTGGGAAAACTTCACTGCCTCTTGTAGGAAACTCAAGTTGGACGTAGAAACTGAACTGGGATACGATAGGAAGAAGTTAGCTGAGGATTACAAAAGGTCAAGGCAAACATTCAACTCTTTAAAGCAACGTTAAGCACTTACCCAACCAATTTCAGTTATTTGTTGTCATAGTTCAACTGACCACATATAGTTTTTCACATATTTCTGTGTAATTGTCAGACCATTATTTTAACAGTCCATCTTTTTTGGACTAGGCCTTCGCTCACATTTTAAATTTAACCTTTTTGTACGCCGTTAAATCGATCAAAAACGGATTTTCACCAGAGTGAAAGTATCTCTACAATGTCAGCTTTATTTCCAGGTCCCAACTGCTAGCGTTGTTGCTATGCATAGGCTCTGTAGATTTGGCGCTTGGAAATGCTCAAATGGAAGAAAGACTGTTAGAACTGCTCAAAGATCTTCACGAAGGTGGACTTTTGAATGCTGATCTGGTTAAAAAAGCTCAGGAGTGAAAAAGATAGAAGCATTTTAACGGAAGCAAGCTGAATATATTAACAATATTCAAGATAAGAATTTGATCATTTATAAACATACAAAAACATGATTGTTATGATGGTTCAGAATCCTTTCACGCACCTTCTATATAATTATAAACATGGGGCACATGGGACAAAAAATAACTCCAATACAGAAACAAATCTTGACGTAGTGGTAAATTTAGATGCTACAATAATTCATTAAAAAATATTATTAATATGATTATTAAACATTATTTTAGCACTACAGTTCTCAGCAAATACTCAGGATTTCAGTTTTGATTTGATTTTGATAATAAGCAACACATGTGGTTTTTGGTTGCACAGTGCTGGATATCTATGCCACTTATTATTAAAAATTAAACAAAATCAAAAATATTATAAGTCAAACTAGATCTCTATTTATCAAATATGTGGTTTATAAATAGTACAACTAGCATATTGAATGCATATTGACATTGTCCTGCCAAAAAAATGTTACTGCGGGCTTACCCTGCTTAATCTTCTAATACCACTGCAATAAAGACAACACTTATCCAAATCTTATCTTGAATAGTGTTTACGTTAGATAGGTACGAATATTACGCTTCAAATGATCGAAAAATTGGTTACAACGCGGTAGAAAGAGAGAATTTTCGATTAGTTTGTTTTGGGGTATGACGAAAATTGGTCATAATCAACAACAAAAAATGACCAAATTTCATGGTTCTCAATGTTCACAAACCATATACAAATACCCAAAAGGTATTTTTTTAAATAAAATGAAAATAATGATTTTTCTAAAACCAATATACAAGTTCCAATAGAAAATCTATATACAAATAAAAAAATAGTCAATTATCAGACAGTTGCTATGTCCAATTCCAGCAACTATAATTTTTTTTTGAAGTAAATTTTCCAGAAATACTGATATGTATATTCTCGAACAAAAATATGCTAGGCAACTGCTCAGTGTAGTTGCTATCTATAAAATACATATCCACAAATTAATAGTACAGGTACAAACACTGAAGTACTCAAAAAGGTCAAATTATAGGTATGCAAGTTCTATATCTTATAGCAACTACTATCAAAAATATTTTATAAGTTATTAAAACAAAAAACAATTTCCGACATACCTCAAATATTTACAATCACCGTATTGCATAAAAGTATAGCAATCACTTTTCTTTCTATAGGTATATATACGATACATACTATATAATATAATATAGACAAATACAATGCAGTATTTTTCGCTTGGTATACTAACGTAATATGAAATATTCTTATGTGCATGATATTGAAAAAATAACTATGTTCCGTGCCAAGTACCGTATTTTTGAGAATTCAATCAAATAAAACAGCAAAAGTTTTAGCTTCTATAGCCGTGTGGAAACGAACAATTTTTATTTGTAATTTTAGATTGTTTTAACGAAATAAAACGTTTTTCAGGCATCTGCATATTATTGATACCCTTGATATACTTGCAAGCAAACACTCAAAAATGAGTTCCAAAACAAAAGAAAAATGCTTTTGTACTCGATACATATTTGTATGACATCACTGTGTGCCGCAATAACACCAAGGAAAATACGAGGTGCTGTTTTTTACTACATCATTATCACTTGAAATCAATCAAAAAATGACTTTATACTTTAAACTCCTGATACAATTTCAAAATTTCCTAATTTCAAGTTTTGAAAAAAAGAATGGTTCTAGTCCATTCAAAAGACTCAAATAGAGTTAGATCTCCATAATAAGCTAGTACTGTTTTCATAGTTACTTTGTTTCCAGTCCTATGTTGTCAAATACTCGTATATGGCTACATAAATGAAATAAAATAGTTCGTTCTTATATATTGGCCCATTTTATAAATAGATAGTTTCCACATGGAAAATACCGCATGCTCGTCTCCGCGGAGGGCATATTTCGGTCTTTATATCTGTAGATATGTTCACTTAAGTACGATTGAACCTTTGCAGCTCAAACGTCTTTCACTATACACTCCCCTACAGTCCCCATCATCTATTTTAAAACCCTACAGCAAAAATGAAACGGTATTTAAGCTATCGAAAAATAAAGTTTCAGCGATTTTTCTTGCTTCTATTTTGCCCGTAGCTTCACCGCCACTGGCGGCATAAAGCTTTTTCGTCCTTAGCATAAAAACAATTGCAGTGGTTGGATATAAAAAAAATCATACATTTCGTTCTTATTTTTATATTTAAAATAAAAAATCATCTTTGCCACAACATTTAGATCACTACATAAAATTGAATAACGATTAATACAATTATTATACAAGAGGAAATTTAGACTTTCATTAACAAAATTGAAATAGTAATATAACTAGCAAATCAATATTCCAGAAAGGATTACTTGAATTTAATAAACTAAATAATGTAATTTAGAGATGTTTAAAAGAAAATTAAAGGAATATTTCCTGGGCAGTGAAATTCTTAGAGATGCAATTTTGTTTTTCTAAATATCTGTATGTTATGTAATTGTTGTAGTTTTTTATAAAGAATATAAGTGTAGCAATCATGCTAAATAAATCTTAAATAAACAAACTTTCTATCAACATCCGAATGGTGCTTTACTAGTTATAGGGTATACACGTATACTAAGTGACATAAATCCGAACACCCAGTTTAAATGGTTTTATTCTAATAAAATTTTGTATAAGAACTTAATGAAGCATAATAAGTAAATGATAAAAATTTCAAAATGATTGCACTGCTTTAAAGCCCGTTGACCTTTAATAATGTGTGGATGCACCCTGATGAGCTACGCATTCTCCAACGCACCTAGGCATGCTTCTGATCAGGTGGTCAATGTCCTCCTGTGGTATCTCATTCCAGGCAACCACCAACTCCTCTCGAAGTGCTTCTAGAGTCTGAGGAGGACGTTGCAAATTGAGCAATCTCCTACCCATCATATCCCACACGTGCTCAATTGGGGATAAGTCGGGAGATCTTGATGGCCATGGTAACAATGTGACATCATTATGTTGAAAGAAGTCTATTGTGACTCTTGCAACATGTGGTCGGGCATTATCTTGTTGGAAAGTTGGATCTGCCAGGGTGTCAAGATAGGGTAAAAGATGGGGTTCTAGAACTTCGTGGATATAACGCTGCGCGTTCATGTTACCTCTGATGAAGATTAAAGGTGACCTGGAACCATAAGCTATAGCACCCCAAACCATAACTCCAACAGTGTGATGAACATGTCTTTCAACAAAAAACTGTGGATTCCTCCTTTCACCACGTCGTCTTCTAACCCTGGCACGACCATCGTGCATGCTTAAACAAAATCGAGACTCGTCACTAAAGACAATACTGTTCCATTCCTGATCCCAGAGTGACCGTTGTCTGTACCACTCAAGCCGATTACGTCGGTGTTCTCGAGTTAAAGGGAGCACCCAGTGTAGCCGGTATGAAAACAAGCCAAAACTTCTCATTCGTCGGTAAACACTTCGCATGCCAATAGGTCTTCCGTGTTCTGCAAACCATTCAATTGCAATGGACCTGGTAGTGGAGAAACGGTCCCTTAAGGCCAATAATCTTAGGCGGCGATCTTCACGGTCTGTTGTTCTACGGCGGCGTCCAGTGCCCCTTGCTCTTTGCGTACGGCCTTCTCGAAGCCATGCCTGACAACACCTAACCACAGTGTCTACACTTCTTTGCACTCTAACTGCAATTGCCCGAAAAGAAAGTCCAGCTTCCCGAAGTCCCCCTATCAAACTCACTAAGTTGACGAAATCGTACAGGTCTCCGTACTCTAGGCATCGTAACCGATCGTAAAGGATGTCAAGAACCAAAATCCGCCAACGTTGATTCTTTACTGCGGCTGAAATATTCATTTTTAGAGCGTTAGTGAATTAAAAAAAGCAGTATAAAAACCGGAATGTCCATCAACTAATAAGGCTGAAAATTTTTTCACTTGTTATTTACAGTAAGATAAAAACATTCACCAACTTATATTAAAATGAAACCATTTAAACTGGGTGTTCGGATTTATATGTCATATAACATCCAAAAAACAATATCTCGTTTGAAACCCTTTCCGTTATGGCGATACTTCCTATCCAAACGAAGTGGGAAGTAAAAATCTAAACTCTTTTGGACAGTCATCGTTGCTGTCAAACGCAAAATTGTTATGCAGTTTTAATAAAAAAAATCCCTAGTTATAAACATAGTTGATAATATATTATCCAATTTGGCAACAGTTCTTGTCTCTCCCGATTTTAGTAAAGCATTCGACACCATAAGCCATGATCTACTTCTAGCCAAGTGTACTTATCTAGGATTTGATACACCCGCAGTACATTTCCTAGCATCATACCTTAAAGGCAGGCACAAGCATCTCAATTCTACAGAATGTTCCTTTCGAGGTACCACAAGGTTCAGTTCTAGGGCCCGACTTGTTGTTAGGAAATTATTCATTCACCATGTGCTTGATTTGGGAATCGTCTCTCTGATAGTAAACGGTGCACATTCACAAAAACTCGGTGACCGGGATGACGAGCAGCACTTGGGTAACTCTCATGATCAGGCCTAGCTGCAGCACTAGCATTGCATCTACATTCTCCATAAAGGAGGTGCATGTTGGCATTGTTGGCGTATTCCCGTGTGGTCTACACAGACATGGTGGCATCACAGGGTGTAGGTTTTCCGATTTTTATAAAGCCTATAATTTGAAAAGTACATGATTTTTTTATATTTTTCTGATAACTAGTGTGACTTGGACTATCCCCATTTCCGGTTTGACGTCGACTTCTGGGTCATCCTGCATGTACTTTAAACGGCTGTGTGCCTGCTAACTTGGGCAGACGACCGATATACTGGTGCCATGTGAGAAAATTTCAAGTAAAAATAAGACTAATTTAAGGTCTGATGGTTGACGTATATACAAATTGATCTCTCCATTGCTTTTTGTTTGAAGGTTTAGAAAAAAGTTTCATAAAAAATAGGGTCTAATTTTAAAAAATATGCTAGGTTTTTTGATGTTGAAAAATTATATATTAGTCTCTTTCACTTTTGTATAGAACATTTTAAAGTATTTTACTACATTTTCATAACTATAGAATGATTGTAATATTTAATATATCAACCACCCCACGCTTTTTACTCTGAATTGAACTATTCTGTTCATAACTTAAAGTTTATTATAATTTTATTTTGGGGTCATTAATTCTGATTGATTGTTTGACTATCTACTACTGTAATAAACTCTTTGCACTTAAACATTATTTTCTACTTTATAGTTTGGCTGGATATAAAAGCGTGTTTTTTTAATTTTTTAAAACTATTATTTATTCTTTGTTATATTACCAACTCAGCAGGTACACAAACAGAAAATAAATAATGTCTGTCAGCCCTGGGTTCTCGGACTAAGATATATCCAACGTATGATGATGTTCAGCCTTAAAACACGAAAGTAACTTCTTGAAGTAATCCAACCGGTACTTTTTTGCAAACTTCTCAGACATCTTTTATTAATGATACATCCGCTAGGCTTGTCGCACCGGCCCGTTTCCTGAGATTTCCCGATTCTACCAGAAACGTTTCCGCTTACAACATCGATCGACGTCAATCTATGTCGAGGATACCTACTTCTTTCTCTTTCGGTCTCAGATTTGGGTCAGCGGTTCACGATTTGGTTAGACAGCAACAGTGCGGATTCGAAAATAAGTTGCGACTGGACATGGAAAACAAGTTATCAAAATCAGTGGCACTATCAAGTGATAAACAACAAGCATAGTCTCTTATTTAATATAAGTTAGGATCAGGAAGGGACAGCCATCTAAAGCGTAAATATCATATTTTGTCAATGAATATTAACTTAACTTATATGCGAATGAATTCGCTTCCTTAAGGGACTGTTTTTATCAAAAGTAACTCGTCGGCAACTTGATTCAAACCGATTTCAACTTCGGTTGCGTTGGTTTTGCTTTCCCACCGAACTAACTGCTAAGCAAACAGCAGCATTGTTTCAAAGTTATGCATAAAAATACTGGTTACGTACAGTCTAAAAATCAAAAGTTTGCCAAACAAACAAGATAAACTGCTTTAAAATAAACTAACCCTAATATACTCTTCGGTGTCTTGTAGGGGAAGATTTGAACAATTTAGATACTTGAAAATCTCAAAAATAAAAATTTTTAACCGAGCTATTAAGCATTGGAGATTCCCACTTTTAAGCTTTAAATCGCGTATAACTCGAAAACGGTCAACTAGGGTTACTTTTTTTTATACTCCAACTACCACGAAGGCCTAAGGCCTAAGCACCCATTGGGTACCGTGGGGCTATAGGGGGATACATGGGAAGGGAGGAACGCCACACGGACTCTGGCGAGGGAACACGTGAGCATGAAACATGCACACATTCTGGCTCCGCCTACGAGATCCGCCGGGTGGTACCTCCGCGTTCGACAGTCAGAGACTGTCTACCACCTACGGACAATCAAACATCCATAGCCAAGAGAAAAATTTCTCCTGGGACGGGACTCAAACCCGCACAGCGCACGGCGACTGATCAGGAGACCGAAGAGTCTACTACTGCGGCCACCGCTGCTGCCAACTCAGAGAACCTAAGGACCTTTTTTGTTTAGAATAATTTGAAAAACCTAAAACGTCTTTGTCCAGAGCGAAAAAACAATTTAGGGTTGGTTTCGAAGCAAAATTCAAACTTGTTTGGTAGCCTAACAAACTTTTGAATTTCGCAGACCGTACTTACTAATATGAAGGCGGAATGAAAATATATTGGTTCTTGCAATCACGAATTAACTTAACCTTCCAAAACACATCAAATATACAGGATGAGCTTTTAGTCTGAAACTGGTGGATAGATTCGTTATTGTAAAAGACATATTTAAAAAAATAGTTGCAAACGTTGCAGGCAGTTATACGCTCCTTACTTGGGAATATTCCGCAGGGTCATTCATAAATACGTGGAAACACAAACATTTTTAAATGGAATACCCTGTATATTTTAGTATAGGTTGAAAAGCATTTTAAAAGGAACAGTTTAATATAGCAAGCTATAGGGTTTAAATCGCTACTTCTCTGAAGATGCGGCATATTTTTTCTGGAAAAAAAAAATGGCGTCAAGTATGTAGGTTAACTCTGCACTTGCCACGCGACGCCGTTGGGAGGATATGTTCAGCACAAACTAGACCCTCTGAGAACAAGATCAGTCAAACAGGCCCATACATTTAATAATAATAATAATAATAATAATCGCGTTTCTTTTTGCCTCTAAAATTTTTTTCACAAATAATCAGGACCCTCTGAAATGTCAAAAAGTTAAGTTTTTACATCTCATATAAACTCCAAGAAACACACTATCTCAGTTTCGAAAATTTTTGTTTTCAATACTTCCCCGCCAGTAGCCGTGGGAAGTAAAAATAGTCAACGTTGACAGCTTGTCAGTCACTTTTTTAGATGAGGAAATGAGCTTCATATCTCATAGTTTTTCGATATTTAAACGTGTTTTAAAGTATATGCATCATCTATCTATAAATACAAAATGTGTTTTTTCTCAATAACTTGGAATGGAGCACCCTGTATATTTTTAGGGTTTTGGGTTGTTAATTTTATAAGGTTTATTTAGGCGTAACATTTTAGAGAGGTTAAATTACTAAATTCTTGAGTTAATTGCAGTTTTCCAAAAATTACAAGCCACGTTGTCAATTTCGAAATTATTTGTTCACAGGATACAGGGTGTTAATCTGAAAACTTCCCACCACGGATTTATCGAAAACCACTGATTAAAAGAAAACACCCCGAGACACGTGAAAAGATTTGTCAAGGGATTTTTGGTTGAAAAGTTCACCCTCGGCCTCCCAGGGTCATTCCCTTAAAACATTCAAATGACAATGGGTATCGAGTAATAGCCTGTTTTGATGTTTGATTTCTTAAAAGCAGTCGATTCCTTTTACGAGAAAATTAGAAAAACCTTTATTTATCTTAATTTGTTCTGATAGAAAACAAAAACACACGAAAATATCATTATTTATTTCAATAAGTGTTCAAAATGTTGCCCGTTAGGGTTTGCCAAATCTACAATTCGTTTATAATTTAAAGCGGAATCTACCAACATAAACAGCAATTCGGAAGATTAGAAGTGGGAACAACCAAATAACAACCCTAATTTTTTCCGCATTCTTTTCATCAACACAGTTATCCTGGGCGAACTGTATTTATTGTTATACCTGTTTAGTTATTTGTTGCTAAGGAAAAGAAATAATTTAATTTGCTGTCTGTCAGTTACCTTTGTGACACTCTTGGGATAGTGAAAATTAATTTATTGATTCAGATTTTACTTCCAAAATGGTTTACACACTTAGCCGAAAGGGTGGAATTGATTCTGATTTATGGTGTCCAAAAACAATGTGCTCGGCAACCTGCCTTCACGTTTAACGCCAGACATCCAGGGAAGATAACTTCGCATTGGATGTTTTGGACCTTATTGAAATAAAAAGTGATATTTTCGTGTGTTTTGTTTTATAGCTGAAAAAAATTAAGATAAATATTTTTTTAATTTTCTTGAAAAAGAATCGACCGATTTAAAAAAATCAAACGTCAAAATAAAGGACTTCGAAAGACCTTACAAACAAGCTATTACTCGATACCCATTGTCATTTGAAATTTTTAAAGGAATGACTCTGGGGGGCAGAGGGTGAAAGGGGGTGAAGTAGTTTTTGGTTAAAAAGAAATCTTTTGACGTGTCTCGGCGTTTTTTCTTTTGATCAGTAGTTTTGGATAAATCCGTGGCGGGAAGTTTTCAAATTAACACCCATCAATTTATGCTGTCAAAGTTATCAGAGGCTTGAAAAGAACACAAAATAGTTTGTGAACTTGGAAGACCTAAGGATTAAAAACACTACTAATCCATACAGTTCTCCAAGTTTTCTGACTCTCGTAATGACATTTTCAAGCCCAGCGTCAGACACTCATTTCTTCAACGTTATTTTTCAATTTTTAGACATATGAGATATGATGGAGCCAATAAAGTGGCAGGCGATATGACGTAGCAAACTGAAAAATATATCATCCGACAGTTTGTAGTGACATCTTATTTATGTACGTTAAATAAGTTGGAATAAGAACCTCAAAAAAAAACCAATCCGTTGTCATGGTAGCGTCCTCAAGAGAGACGCCAGATGTTACGCTGTTGCCGCATGTAATAAGCTATAAAACATAAATTGAAAACATAAAAGAAGTTTCAAGCTTGCCACTGAACGAGTTAGTAATATAATCTGTTATTAAGGAAATATGACAACACTGCTCGACATATCTGCTGACCTTTCACCTGGATCAATAAGTCTAGCGAATTATTTCACGTCGCAGGACATTTCCGCCATCTGTGGTGGTGTAGACATACTCAGCCATTACTAAATAAAGAAACCTATAATTTGGAAACGAGTAAAACACCTTCCCTATTTGGAATTAATTTACTGTGTTTATAAAAATACTTCTCTTGCATCATTTTTCTGAAATAAAAAGTACTGATATCCAAGAGACGCACTGCTCAAAGTGGAGAACTAGAGTCAAACCACAAAACATAAAATATCATGGAATTTAGAAGCATACAGTAGCCGACAAAAATTTGGAAACATCTTAGTAATTTTTAAAAAGTGCGCTAATTATTTATTCTTTATTATTAATGACTATTTTTTTCTCATATAGTTTGCTTACAGTCCTGAGGATAAAAATGACAATTTGTGTTTGCTGTGGTACTACAGACTAGCATTAAGATACCTTCATACTATTTTATGACCAAAAATGAGACGACAAAAGTATGGAAACATATTTTTTAATACAAAATTAAATACAATAATTCTACAAAAAGATTTAAAAAATACTGTTCAGCTAATAGTTTGTAGCATAGCCTTCAGCATTCAACACTGCCTGACATCTGCTGCTCAATTTTTTACAGACGCCTGATGGGATATTTTGCCAAATATTTTTTACATCATCAAATAAATCGTTCCTATTTTTTTAAGTTTTTCTTGTCAGTTGTCTTTTAACATGCTCCCAGAGACGTTCTCTAGGATATTCATGGAACAAACGTTTAATGTAGCGATCCAAAACATAATCGATGTTTTTCGGTCTTTCGCACCTGTGCCGCGTTGCTGTTGATCCGTATTCTTGAATATTTACTAATAATTTTCGGAATCCTCCCTTTGTTCATTTGTAATCTTTGAGCAATGTCAACATTTCTGAAACCACTTCTAAATAATTCAATTATTTTGTCTCTTAAATCTTTTGAAAATTATTTCACTTTTGCCATTCTCACTGATAATATTAACTGCACGCAATATCAGAGTATCGCAGAACGGATAAATACGGCGAAACTGAAATGTTTACATACTTTGGCCTATACAAAAACTGTGGTATTTAAAAAAAACGTGTGCTTTTATTTTCCGAGAATTTGAATATTGATAAGATAAACTTTGTATTAGTACGGGAGACAAAGGTAGACTTTAATATTTATATTATCTGTTCCTTCACAGTTTTAATTTAGGTATATGAAATAGTTCATATTAATGTTAATATTTATTTCCAAACATATGTCCGCTACTGTATTCAATCAGTCCATTATTACCAGGTATGTCATGCATGAATAAAAAAAAACTTACCGATGCCAAGACTCCACCGATGATGGCCGCATTTCTTTTATGTTTGTTCACAGACTTATAACGTGTATAGAGTTTTCTACCCACCCATACTGGAATGCCTGGAAGTAATATGAAATGTAGACGTATCTGGATCAAAACTAAAATTCAACGATCTGGCTTGGCAGATCCTATCTCAGATAGGGCTCATTTTTTTCTGGGGAGTCGATATCGAGTCATGATGTTTTGTAAAACTTCAGGCTCTGAAGGTTCGGAAAAATGTGGAATATAGCGTTTGCCACACCTGTACCTGGAAAGAATGAGGCTCCATAACAAATGACCGAAGTATGTAAAATTGTCCAGGGAGCTCAAAAATTACTTAAAAATTGCGATTTTGTATTTTTTTTCGGCAGTCAAAATGATTTTTTCAATTTTTCTTTCACCGTTTCATTGGGCTTACAATTTGAATGTCTTTTGAAACAAAAAATCGACAAAACCAATATTTTTCTTAAAGAAGAAGGATCATTATTAGACCTTGAAGTGGAGTCATTTATTTTAACAGTGAGTAGATCTGATCAAAAGAAATGTTTTTTTCCTATAACATTTTTCTGGTAAAATTAAAGTAACAAAGTTATAGCCCTTTAGAAGTTTGAGTACCGCCCTGTCTCAATAATAATATTATGTGCTCGTGTTTGGCAATAACGGATATAATCCGCCTTATCGGTTCATCGCATCGGAAACAAAAAAGCGAAAGAATTTGAAATGCTTATCACGATGATTTTACTACAATTTTATTCAGTTGTACTCAGTCAATGTGTCAGTCGGTAACACGTGAGTGAATAGTGGTGTTTCTTGCGTGGATCAAACGAAATAAAAATTGGCACATGTTTACGAAAATGGTGAACTTGTGGACATGATTCTTATTTCTTTACAAAATGCTGCCGCGGCATCACGGATTTATGCGGATCGGTTTCCCAATAGAGTGCAACCAAGCCTTTGTTAATGTAGTACAAAGGGCTCGTGAATCAGGTGACTTAAGACCTCACAGGGGAGAGCATGCCGGTGCTCCAAGACCGCACGATCAAATAGAACTAGAAGAACAAATTTTAGAATTAGTAAATGATGATCCAACACTAAGCACCCGACAAATTTCAACTCAATTGGCGATTAGTCAATATAAAACTTGGAAAACTCTACGTAAAAATCAGTTCTATCCGTTTCACATACAAAAAGTGCAGGCCTTACAACCGGAAGATCATGAACAAAGGGTTGACTTTTGCAATTGGCTTTTAAATAAACATCAAAATGATGACAATTTTTTAAATCAAATTTTAGTGAGTGATGAAGCCCTCTTTACTAGAAACGAAATTATTAATTCACGTAATTCTCACGTTTGGGCTATTGAAAATCCCCATGAAATAAGGGAAACCAATTTTCAACAGCGATTTGAACCAATCAACCTGTGGGCTGGAATTGTTAATGGAATTTTAGTGGGGCCTTTTGAATTTTCCAAATCGCTTAACTTGTGAAAATTATCTTGATTTCTTGCAACACAATTTGCCTGGTTTACTGGAAGATGTGCCTTTAAATATTAGACAAAACATGTGATTTTTACAAGATGGGGCACCCCCCTATTATGCAAGAAATGTGCGTGAATTTTTAAATAGACAATTTAATAATCGTTGGATCGGCCGTGGCGGTTTTGTACCTTGGCCGCCAAGATCTCCGGTCTTAAATCCTTTAGACTTTTGTTTGTGGGGTGGGCTAAAATCTCTAGTGTATAAAACACCGGTTAATACACGCGAAGAATTACGTGCTCAAATTGAGGAAATGAGTACAGTGACCAGAAATCAACCAGTGATTTTATTGCGTGCTTGTAAAGAGACATGGCTGAGACGCGGCCAGCTCTGCGTCGAGCAAAACGGAAATCATTTCGAACAGTTTTTGTGACATGCTTTTGGGCGCACAGGTCCGCACTGAAATACTTGTCGGGAGGATACTTTATAAAACAAGGTAACATTTTTTTATTTTTTTTTATTTTTACACACACATGTTTTGGTTTATCTTCCTTCTACAATTATTATCTGAAAATTAATGACTCAACTTTAAAGTCACTCTGTATAAGTTGAATTATGTACTCGGGCCTTTAAAATGAATGAATAGGCCATTGGATCCCATTTTCGATATTTTGGACCAAAATTGACCATTTTGGTGATATTGGAGTTTAAGTCATGTCTCAGATCCTATGAAGACATAATATACTAAGTGACATATAAATCCGAACACTCAGTTTAAATGGTTTTATTTTAATACAAGTTGGTGAATGTATTTATCTTAGTGTAAACAACAAGTGAAAAAATTTTCAGCCTTATCAGTTGGACATTCCGGTTTTTATACTGTTTTTTTTTTAATTCACTAACGCTCTAAAAATGAATATTTCAGCCGCAGTAAAGAATCAGCGTTGGCGGATTTTGGTTCTTGACATCCTTTACGATCGGTTACGATGCCTAGAGTACGGAGACCTGTACGATTTCGTCAACTTAGTGAGTTTGATAGGGGCCGTATAGTGGGACTTCGGGAAGCTGGACTTTCTTTTCGGACAATTGCAGTTAGAGTACAAAGAAGTGTAGACACTGTGGTTAGGTGTTGTCAGGCATGGCTTTGAGAACGCCGTACGCAAAGAGCAAGGGGCACTGGACGCCGCCGTAGAACAACAGACCGTGAAGATCGCCGCCTAAGATTATTGGCCTTAAGGGACTGTTTCTCCACTACCAGGTCCATTGCAAATGAATGGTTTGCAGAACACGGAAGACCTATTGGCATGCGAAGTGTTTACCGACGAATGAGAAGTTTTGGCTTGTTTTCATACCTGCCACACTGGGTCCTCCCTTTAACTCGAGAACACCGATGTAATCGCCTTGAGTGGTGCAGACAACGGTCACTCTGGGATCAGGAATGGAACAGTATTGTCTTTAGTGAAGAGTCTCGATTTTGTTTAGGCATGCACGATGGTCGTGCCAGGGTTAGAAGGCGACGTGGTGAAAGGAGGAATCCACAGTTTTTTGTTGAAAGACATGTTCATCACACTGTTGTAGTTATGGTTTGGGGTGCTATAGCTTATGGTTCCAGGTCACCTTTAATCTTCATCAGAAGTAACATGAACGCGCAGCGTTATATCCACGAAGTTCTAGAACCCCATCTTTTACCCTATCTTGACACCCTGGCAGATGCAACTTTCCAACAAGATAATGCCCGACCACATGTTGCAAGAGTCACAATAGACTTCTTTCAACATAATAATGTCACATTGTTACCATGGCCACCAAGATCTCCCGACTTATCCCCAATTGAGCACGTGAGGGATATGATGGGTAGAAGATTGCTCAATTTGCAACGTCCTCCTCAGACTCTAGAAGCACTTCGAGAGGAGTTGGTGGTTGCCTGGAATGAGATACCACAGGAGGACATTGACCACCTGATCAGAAGCATGCCTAGGCGCGTTGGAGAATGCGTAGCACATCAGGGTGCATCCACACATTATTAAAGGTCAAAGGGCTTTAAAGCAGTGCAATCATTTTGAAATTTTTATCATTTACTTATTATGCTTCATTAAGTACTTATACAAAATTTTATTAAAATAAAACCATTTAAACTGGGTGTTCGGATTTATATGTCACTTAGTATACATACTGTAAAATCTTAAGGGTTTTAGATCGAACGGTTCGATCTGGAGCCGCGCTCTGAGTTTGAAGGTGTCGACAAAAATGAGAATTTCAACCTTCTTGGTAACCGTTTCCTCGCATGTCCTTGGAAAGCAGTAGGCCCCCTAATATATCACTATTCTAAAGTAAGGTTGCCCGAGGAATTAAAAAATTACCTCTATATTGCGATCTGATAATTCGTTCGGAAGATATTTCACTCAAAAGTGTAATTGCTCACTCTTTTATTCGGCCGACAATCCAAATCGATTCCGAAACAAAAAATCCACAAAATTATACTTTTTTTAAAGGAGCGAGTCTTCAGAAAAAAATTGAGCCTGAACTGAGATGTGACCGGCCAAATCAGGTCGTGGAACCTTAGTTTTGAGCCATGTATATGTTTGGTATTAAAGCAATGTTGCATTGTTGGAAGGTCGTAACATAAGAAGCTTGTCAAGCGGTTGTCTCGCTAATAAATCTCATTGTTTCAGTGGCCGCCAAATAAAACCACAGATGTAGAGTTGAAGATTTAGTAAAGTTTCGGCCATCTCTAGGGCTTTTTTCAAAGTACAGATGAAAAAATGGCAATGACAATACGAGCCCTAACACAAAAATGATAGGACACTATCTAATTTTATCTAAATTGTTTATTTTGTAAGGTAAAAAATTAATTGTCTTTCTTTTATGAGACAATGAAATATATTGTTTGCACATCATATTAACAAAAGTAACATGATAATGAAATATAGAATCAAACTAATATTGATAACGACGCAACATTTTGCAGACATAAATATTCGCACACGGTATTAAAAAAAATAATAGCAGGTCATGAAAACAAACAAGTGTTTACAATTTGACGCTTTGACTTAAGAATCAATTCTGCGACTCAATTTGTCGTGTGGTAAAGCAACAAACGGTGTAATCAGAGTTTTTATCATAAAATTGCTTCATCAAGGAAAGAGTTTTCGGGATATTGAAAAACAAATAAATGTCGCAAAGTCTACGGTGACAGATATTGTAAAAACTTATGGAGACAGAGAAGTTTCAAGATGGTATGCCATGTAAGATCAGTCCTAGAATGCAAAGCTTTCTTGTTCGTATTTGAAAAGCTGATCGTCGAGGTAAGGGACATAACAGCAAAATAGAATTAAGAAACGACAGGGAATGTTTCACGAGAAACGTGCCGACTGTGGATTTATAATTCTGGTTTACATTTTCATAAGGTACGTAGGTTGCATTTAAGGGACATATGGTATATTTATCCAGTAAACCTTTGCTTTAGGCAAAAGGGAAGCCGTTGCTTACAGAAAAACAAAAGGAGATGAAAATTTTAAAGCAAGCTCGGGATGGCTGGAAAAATTTGAGTCTTTTTTGTTATTTTTTTGTTTACATGTTATTTTTTTAACTTTAGACGTATTACAGAAAAGCATGCGGTGAAAGTGCTGCCGTGGACCAAAAAAGTGTGATAATTGGATCACCGGCTCTTTTAGCCCCTTACAACCCAGACGATATTTTTAACGCAGATGAGACTGGTTTATTATTAAATGTTTACCAGACAAAACCTTAACATTCAAATCTGAAAAATGTCACGGACGAAAGTTGTCTAAGGAAAGGGTGAGCCTTTTATTAACAACAAATATGACTGACACTGAAAAAGTAAACCTTGTCCTAATAGGAAGATCAAAACCACGATGCTTTCGGGAAGTTAAAAATTTACCGCTGACTTACTACAACAATAAAAACGTATGGATGACGAGTGACATTTTTTCAAACTGGCTGTTGGACCTGGACAAACAGTTTCTACTTCAAAACCGTAAGGTTTTGTTTATGATTGACAACAATTGATCACCGATTAAAGGCAATAAAGTTGATTTTTTTTTCACCAAATATGACATCCAAACGGCAGCATCTAGATCAGGGCATTATAAAAAGTTTTAAATTTCATTATAAACATAGAATCGTGAAAAAAATACTAGACGGATATGAAACCAATGCCATAATCTCTAACACTGATCTCTTGGATTGCATTCATATTTCGGCAACAGTATGGGAGGTAGATGTAACCCAAGCGACTATTCAAAACTGATTCAGAAAAGGTTGGTTTGGAACGCACACCTATTATGACTTAGAAGATGAAATGCCTCTGTCGGAATTAAGAAAAATAATTATCAATGAACAGCAAGTAGCCCTAAATGTTCAAGAGTCCATTGATAGATACTTAGAAATTTGAATGCTAATGATAAGGTCTCTTTGGATGAATTTGTAAATGTAGACGAGGATCTAATAAAAAGGAAAATCCGTACAGAAGACGAAATATTGCAAAGTGTAAGCAAAAAACAGGATGAATTGGAGAACTGATCTGATGATGAAGAGGACAGTAAAGGAACTCCAAGAGAGAAGCCTTCTGAGGCTGAAATTTTAAAGACAATTGAAACCATCCAGCTTGTCTTTGCAATGAATGAGGCTGCAACTAATGATGACTTTACTTTAATCTGCCAAATTAGACAAATATATGAATCTTACCGCCCAAAAAAAATAATCAGTCAAAGTTTAGTAACTGATTATTTTTAAAGTGCTTTTAGTACATACATTTCAAGTTTAGTAGAGACTGTTTTCTAGTTTAACGCTTTTGACTATGTAGTTTAGCTTTTTAATACATATGTTATTATGTATGTATGTATAATAATAAAAACATGTTTTGGAATATGCATGTACATATGCATGTAGGTATATACATACAATGCGGTTTTTTTATAACTGGAACTGTCTATAATTTAATTCGGCCTTTTTTTGGCTGTCCCTTCAAGTTCGAGTTATAGAGGTCAACTGTATTTCAATTTCTTATAAAAGAAAAAAAATATTTTGTAACCTTAAAAAATAAACAAATTTTAAGATAAGATATTAGATAATGTCCCAACTGTTTTGTGATAGGGCTCGTACATTTCATTTTTATCTGTCTTCTAGCTGACTACTCATTTTTTCGCCACTATACAGTGTGTTCGAATAATAAACGAGATCGGCTTGGTACAGGTCTGGCATGGGTGTTATTGGAACATACTGTATAATAGCAAAAACAAATGAAGTGTCAAATGGAAGACAAATATAAATAAAATATACTATCATTGTCATTTTTTTATCTGTATGTTGAAAATGTCACCAAGATGGCCGAAACGGTAATAATAGTAATCTCTACACATGTCATATTTGGCAGCCAATGAAAGATTGATATTCAGAGTTCACTTTTTCTTCATTCCCGGTTCAATTCCAGCAAACTTCATTTACTGGAGAGTTAAGTGGGGAAAAATTATAAGATGCCTTATCGCATCTTTCAAAAGATCCGACGTGTTGCTTTCAAGCTCCAGATTTATTTAAGCATACATAATAAAGTCTTTCCGTCCACAAAATAAAAAGAATTTTGGTTGGATTGGTTATGATTTGTTTCTGAATGCTCACCTATTATCATCGCCGGTACCGTAATACCGGCCACTAAAGCTATGCCTACAGGAGCACCGACTAGAGTACCTAGCTGCCAAAGAATCTTCTTTTTCCGGGACCATGGTTTCTTGCCCCAAAACGTACAACCCGACGGACTGAAACAAAATATAATGATGAAACTTGACAAACTCAGATATATACAACATGCTATGAAATGTCTATGAATTCCAAAACTGACCGTTTCTACTTTTCTCGTTGTGTTCATTTCAGAACATACTGATTTCAAGAATTAGATCATTTCTATATAGGTCGCTTGTAATCATGATGGGAAAATTTTAAATGCAAAACATTGCATGCATTTTATGTTTATACAGTTGCAAAGATGAAAGTCAAGAAATGGCACGCAGCATTTACCTTAAAAAATGTAAATCGTTGATTTCCTTCATGCACAGCCAACAAAATTCGGCGCCACAAACAGCGCACATCATATGATTGCAGGAACCATCGTCCATTTTCACTATCAACACCTGGCACCTCGGACATGGCTTTATATCATCTCCTGGAAAGAATAGGTGAACGTGAATAGGCCAGTTTGCAATGCTGCAATCCACAAATTGGGTTCAGGTTATCAGTCATTATGAACAATTTGTATTTTATTAAAATTTCCTGATGTTTTCCTTGACAGCAAATATTAATAAATGTTTTGAAAGAGCTGAACCTCAGGTAACGAGAGGTTGATGACATTTTAAAAAATCTTTGGGTTATGAAATATTTTCTTTCAATCTACATGTCAAAGGAGGACACATGAAAAGACTAGCGCCAAGATTTTTCGAACATCATTGTTAATAAATTCAAAATTAATTATGTAAGAGTTATTTAAATGGTCTTGATAAAATCCAAGATAGTAGTTAGGAATGTTTATATTTAAAATAAATCCTAAATATTTGTTAAACACGTATCATAACTTTTCAACTGTTAAGAGACTGAATTCAAGCTGGGTTTTGTTTTTTTTTTTGTAATTAAATGGGAAAAATAATACGATTTCGTTCATGGGACCACTGTTCTAAGATCGTCATTGTACATATTACTATTCATCAATATTCGGCATTTACAACTAACTTACTATGTTGAGAATCCTGACTATAACTGATGGACGATGATCTGATGTTTGGAGATCGCTGGGCTCTTGCAGCATCGCATGTTTGATTTGGATGCCATTCCGCCTTGCAATGGTAACAAAAATATGAATCGCAACCAGGCCTTTCGCACTTTATTTTTGGGCAGCTTGCACATTCACTAGCTGCAAAAATAAACAAACATGTTTAATTATAATTCAAATAATTCTGAAAATAGTCGAATATAAAAGCTTCAAGGACACTGCGTGTCAAAATCAACAGTATCAAGTGAGCTCAAAAGAGGTGGAAGGAATAGTCTAGAAAATGCTCAATCCGAGAGAATGCTGAAGGGTTTCAACGCAGGAAAAGTTTCAAAAATGAGTAAGGAAGGGCACATCTCAGCAAGAAGGCTGTAAGTTCTTATATGTACAAAGTGTGGAAATATAAGAAACTGTACAACTCAGCCCAAAAGTATTTTAAGCTGATAAATTCATCCTCAACGATTCTATCATTATTGTTTGGCAAATCTGACATGTTGTATACGTACCTATCACAGCAAACCTGCAATCTGGTGCAGGGCACCACCTAGTGTCTGGATCCACAGCCAAAACACGCCTAACCATAAAATCTTCATACTTCTCGTACAAAGCTGGATTCGACAAGATCGCACGAATTTCTGCAACAGAATAAAACGAAATATGATCAAATATGTGTCTTATCAATTAGCAATCTTCATAAAAATTAAATCGGTCATTTTAAAAATTACTTGAGTCATATTTTTTAACATGCCTTTTTTGCTCGAAATGCTTTCTTAAAGATTGATTGGCATTCTGGCATAATTTACGCGAGACAATACATTCCTTCATTTTCAAATAATTCCGGGTGATAGACGTTAATTTCACAAAGAACAGTCAGGGAATGTAACATTTGAAACTAATCCCCTGGTTGTCTCGCTGATCAATTTACAGGTTACAGGTGCTATCCACAAATGGAAACCACAGACGTAGAAGTGAAAATGCTCCATTTCGGTGGCCTTTCTTAAAAAACAATATTTTGTCATTGTCATTTTGAAATGAATCTCTTAAGTTTGATTCCAATCTGTTTTTTTTTGCTGAAAGTTACGCCGCTCCGCCCGCCTGGATGTAGTGTAAAATATTATTGTGAAGGAGATTAGTTTAGGGGAAATAGATACAATATTCAAAGAAATACTTCGGAAATGAACATTTTTTATTCAACATTTTAATGAAACAATATATTAATATTACATTTGTGATCAGAATCACAATAAATAATAAGTCATATAGCCTGTATGGCGTATCTTAACATATCCTAACTCAACAACTATTTATTAAACTTGAAATAACACCAAACAAATCTAAATCAAGACGATCACGCTAAAAAAACGAATGTCGAAATGCAGTAAATACACGATGCAAATGCACTATGCACCAGAAAAATTTATAATTCTATTGAGCCGTTTTTTCCTGGGATAAAAAACAGTCCGATTATAGTCTATCAGTGTATCAAATTTCATCCAGATCGGTTCAGCCATTTTGGCGTGATTGAGAAACAAACATCCACCCTTCCTCATTTATAATATTAGTAGAGATGGAAAATTGAAGAGTGGTAATTCAAAAGCGTCTAAGTGCCAAAAAGGTTTGGTTGAGAAATTAAACAAAAACATATCAGGTATAGATAGACAGATAGATAGACTGCAGGCGAATTTGAAATAAGAATATAGAACTGCAGATTCTTTACTGGCACATAGACTATTATTTGGTATAGTATTGGCAATGGTACATGGTACATACGAGGGTGGTCCCAGAAGTACCCAGCCTGACCTAGAGATGGCGATAGTTGTTTCCAAAATATTCTTTGTATTAGAAAGTATGCAACCTATAAAGCATATGTGTCAAGTTTGAAGACACCACGTTGTTTAGTATTTGTTTGGCAGCCATCAATACTGAACGTTTTCAGTGAATTTAAGAAAATGGAGAAAATTGGTCATCGTTATGTGGTACAATACTTTTATTTCAAAGGCCTCAGCCCAACCAATATAAAAGCTGAACTTGATTCTACTCTGGATAAGTCTGCTCCTTCGTTTACAACAGTAAAATATTGGGTAGCAGAGTTTAAACGAGGCCGTATGAGTTGCCAAGACGAGCATCGCAGTGGTCTACCAAATGAGGTGACGACTCCAGAAATGGTGAAGAAAATTCACAAAGCGGTACTGAATGATCGTCGACTGAAAGTACGCGAGCTAGCAGACACCAGACATTTCAAAAAGTGCGGTTCATTGCATATTATCTGAAAATTTGGTCATGAGAAAGCTGTGTGCAAGATGAGTGCCTCGATTGCTCATAATCGAACAAAAACAGTGTCGTGAAGATGTATCAATTGAGTGTTTAGCGAAGTTTCACAGCAACAAAGCAGAAATTTTGGGCCGTTCATAACCATGGATGAAACATGGGTCCATCACTTCACACCCGAGACAAAAGAACAATCAAAACAATGGACTCAAAAGGGACAACCGGCTCCAAAGAAGGCGAAAACCGTTTCACCTGCAGGCAAGGTTATGGCTTTGGTTTTTTGGGATGCGCGTGGGATAATTTTCATTGACTATCTTGAAAAAGGTAAAACTATCAACGGCGAGTATTATGCGAACTTATTGCAACGTTTGAGCGATGAAATCAAGCAAAAACGGCCGCATTTGGTTAAGAAGAAAGTGTTGTTTCATCAAAACAATGCACCAGCTCACAAATCCGTTATTACAATGGCCAAAATTAACGAAATAAAGTTTGAATTGCTACCTCATGCACCCTATTCACCAGATTTAGCCCCCTCGGATTATTTTCTGTTTAGAAACTTGAGAAAATGGCTCAGTGGTCAAAGATTTTCCAACGATGAATAAGTGATGTTGGCAGTTAATTACCACTCTTCAATTATGTTTTAAGGTATATATAATAGCGGATAAAGGTGTGTTGAACAAAGTCAGCTGTAGCTTTTCATCAATTTCTGTTTATTATTTGCAACACAAATATACATTAATGAGCGATACAAAAATCAAAACATTCACTGCCCTGCATTGTGACAGTGAACAATTCACCTATGCAGATCATTACCATAAGTCGTTATTATTCGCAGTGCGCTTGATTGAATATTTATAATTCAAATAGGCACACCATGTGGTTCATGCAAAGAATGCTAATTTCTAACTAACAATTATCTATGTAGTACTTTTAATTGTTCACTCTGTTGTATCTGATTTCAGCAACCGCTGATTTCGTATACAAATTGATATTAATTTCAGATTTATTTCCTTGTTGATTTTTCAAATCGTTAAGCAGTGCTTTAATCAACTCTCAGGGTTAACTTTGTTAAAAGTTATTACACAAGTGCATACGAAAGATACGGAAAATTTCTTTGAACGTTATAGGAAAATATATCATTTGTATTTCAATAAAAATAACCCTAAATCTATCATGTGCATAACAAGAAAAGAATATTCTTAAAGGTTATTGAAAAGGGTACATTCTAGGGGTATATTCAATTTCAATGTACAAATTAAATTCCATGGTTAAAACAATGGATGAAAGCACAGTTAAAGAAGTTTTTACAATCATATAGGAGTTGTAAAAGCGATTTTTACATAGATATAGAGTACATAACGTTTTATGCTGACACTTAAATGCACTTTATGTTACTACCTGATAACAAAAAGGGGGTTACTTATCGTAGCTATGAATCTATTCAATTCTAGATTAAAGATAAGGTTTTGGGAATAATCGGAGCTGTATCTAATTTTCCTTCAGTTAGGCGGAATTTATATGGTATGGTTGGAGGTAAAACTGTCAAAAGAAGATGGGAAGACATATTTGATAGAAAGGGAATCTATTTTTCTCGACTTCATCATGTTTCAATGGCATCTACTTCTAGCTTTCTAGATTACCCACATTCATTTCAACATAGTATTATGCAATTCATCTTAAAAATGATGGTTTTTCTTGTTGAGATTTCAAAAAATAAGTAAAATAACGAATTGAATTTTATGGGCACAACGTTAGCCATTCTATTGGTCACAGTGCAATTGTGAGATGCTGGTCCAAACAGTCTATTTGGTATCCCAACGTCATAACTTAAGGGAGCGTGGGGTCAAAACCATGATCCATTTCTAGGTTTTTAAAATACTAATATTAGACATTAACTTTTACAACATGACGTGTCCATAAGGTCACGAATGGATGACGTCATCGTATCAAATACGGCCACGTGAGTTGTATCCGTCGATTTCACGCGTCAACAAGCAGGGCCAGGTATAAATTGGGCCCTATCGACAGGACCTGTCATTACTGTTTTAGTGCGAATTAGCGAAGATGTTCCGTATACTGCCTCTGTTAGCTGCAAGTTACTTGCCTGCCCTACCAGTGGAGATTTGGTGCCTCATACTTCGGTAAGTGTCTATGATTTACATTCTATTTAATTTATATTTGTGTATTGCATTTTACCAGTAATATTAATTACTTTTTTTGTTTCAGGCTTTTGGACGACGAAGCTCTACTGTCAGCGGTGAGGTCCAATCGATCTTGGTTGACATACGCCAAAGGAGACCCGGTGTTGAATCAGCGTTTGACCACTGCACTGTTGCAAGAAAGAGAACAATTCCTGAGGATGAAAACGCAGGATGTAATACAACGTCCTCTGTCGACATGTGGTACATTCCGTAGTAATAATCAAAAGATCGTCATCAGAAAACCAGAGAATTATTACAAGAACGCAGAGCTTTACAAGCAGATATTGGAGAAGCCTAAGGTTACAAAATTAACAAGGAAAATAAAATCTGTAAAGAATCATTCTAGGAATAAACCATACCGTTTATAGTGACGATGTTGTAATGTTTACTTCAATAAACTCATATGTATAAACATGTGTTTTTTTATACGCCAAAACTCTTCTGACAAGATCAGCGATACGTGAAGTATGAGTTGACTAGATAACCCGTTTCACAGAAGTGATGTCAATTAAAGACGAATTTCAAAGCGGTCCATCCACATAACTTTAAGTAAACTAGGTAGCCTGAGTCATACTTCATGCGTGGCTATCTCGTAGCCGCTAGATACTACTAAACGTAACCAGCATTGCCTTTCAGGGATGAAAATTGAATACGCTATCTTGAAAATAAGTATTATTTTAACTTAGTTCCATCATGTGTCCTGACGAATTATCAGTATTTTTCACTTTTTGAGGTTACCGATTATAATCAATCAAGAAAATAATTGGTTACCTCATCAACAACGACGGTGGTGACAATCTTGCAGCGCCGATGATGGGAACTGTCTATACAAGTCTCAATCTACTTTGCTTGTCTAGTAGTAGCCAAAGGTAGTTACCTATGCCAAGAATGGACTCCGAGTGGAATGTCTTTAAAGTACACCAGCAGTATCATTTGACCTTGCTTGGAATATATCGAGGAAGCGGCCATGTAGACAGACAATACAAAAACTTAGCACAGGCTGTTTATGTTGTTGTTGAATCTTCAGGCACAGCTATATCTTATATAGGTGATCAACAAGAGGTCGCACGCTCATGAAAAACCTGTCATACCGACAGTGACAAGCAGAAATGTGGAAGACTCGTATGTTGACGAAAAAATCATTAAGGCAGTGGGATAAAACAGAA